GCTTCGAGGAGGGTGACGCCCTCGGCCTGACCTGCAACCTCTGCGGACATCGCCGCGCCTTGGTTAGCAGGCCGCAGGCGTGGCACACGAAGCGCCGCGCCTTGGTTAACAGGCCGCAAGCGTGGCACACAGTCCACGCGTCCAGGTCACGGACCGCGACAGACAAGCAAAGCAATGCTTGCCCACTCGGGCCGTAGGCACAAGAGCTGTACGTTTCCCAGAACAGCCCCCAATTGTGAAGTCGACCAGCACTGGACTTGCACTAAGCCAATGCAATCACAGCCCGGCCACGCTGTTTTACGACTTCGCGAGTTCAAGCACTTGTGCAGCTACGCCTGAGTGCGTCCGGTCGGACCGCACAGCAACCTAAGAGCTACTGTACGAAACTACCGTGCTCAAAGGCACAAGCTCGGTACTTGAGCCAAAACATTGGCATTGTTACGAATTGCAAAACTACGCATGCAAAGGAAAACTACTACAGTACTGGCCCTGGCAGCTTTGCACATGCAGCGTGCGTGCATAGACCTGCTCACAATACATACATATATACATATATACATATATACATATAAACATATATGCATATATACACGTATACATATATACATATATACATATATACATATATAGATTATATATATATATATACATATATAGATTGATATATATATATATACATATAGATAAACGTACTCGAACCGCAGGAATGATGCCCTCGCCGCTGGCGGTGATCGCGGCCGAGTTCCAGCAGGACAACACCATGGGGAATGCCGAAATGTCGCGCGGCCTCCGGGCGGGCTCCACGGCACAAGTTGAGGGTTTAGTGAGGGTTTATCGGGTTGATAGTGCTTGTAGGCCCATTGTAGGGCTTAGTTAGGGTTCATAGGGTTTATCGGGTTTGTAGGGTTTATAGGGGTTACAGGGTTTATATGGAGCCCCAAGACCCTAAATGTCTGTTACGTGTTGCACTCCCCTGTGTGTTCTTTTGTCATCGCTCCGCCCTCGGAAGACGGGAGGGTATATGCATGCTTGCATACGCGAGCCGCGTGGAATATTCAGGGTCCTGCCAAGCGGTCCGGACGTGATTAGAAGGGAAGCGTGCTGGCACCTCATCCCTAAATACAAAGTCTGAGGCCCCATCCTCCGCTCCTTCCTTGGCCGAAGCCCGAAACTCGTGGAATAGAAGTCCTAAGTCCGAAACTCATGAAACAAAAGTCCTAGAGGCTTTGAGGTTTAGTGATTCGCCGGCTTTTGTTCTTCTCTTCCCCCCCTTCCCTTTCAAGAGAAGCCACCCAAACGTCACAGAGGCTCCTTGACGCCCGGTGCCTTGGTCATAGTTGGGTACCGTTTTGCATTTTTACGGGTACTTCAACCCACTAGGGAACATAAATCTAGCTTTTTTATGCCATCCCAACCATGAACTACTAGGGGAAATAAATCTAGCTTTTTAATGCTACCCCAACCATGACGCGAGGTGCCTTCACCACCCCGCAGACCCTGCGGCACCGCCAGCGCATCGGCAGCAACGCCGACTTCGGCATGGTCGGCCTCTGAGTCTTGGAGTCGATACCTATATCCCCCCCCCCTTTTGGGAATTTGTTTTTTCTATTTTTGTTTTTTTTTACAAAACCCAAGAGGATTATGGGATTGTTTTCCTATTTTTGTTTGTATAAAACCCAAGAGGATTTTGAAAATACTATGATAAATTAAGGTTCTAAGGGGAGTATAGATACAGCGTTGAGGGGTGCAGGGGAATCAGGGGGTATAAGGGCTTAGGGCTCCAATTCAAGTTTAGGGTGGAAGCGTTCCGATGGGTTTCGGGTGGGGCCTGTGAGCGTCTTGGAGTCGTTGAGGGGTGCAGCGGGTTTAGGGCATAGGGTGGCTGAAAGCCTTGGAGTCCACGAATAGTGGTGTAGGGTTTCTGGGGTTCAGGGTTTAGGGTGGCTGAAAGTGGTTTAGGGGGTGCAGGCATGTAGGCTTCAGTTCTTCCCCGCGCGCTTCCCGTGCACCAAGCCAGTTAAGGAGATCTGCGGCGGCGCCTCTCTGGCAGTAGAAGCACTATTGCTCGGCTGTACATGGTCAGGTTTCCTAAATTGTGGTCCCTGCTTTCGTGCCCCTCAACTCCCTAAACCATAACCATAAACCCTAAACCCTACTAAACCCTACTAAACCCTACTAAACCCTAAACCCTAACCCCTAAACCCTAACCCCTAAACCCTAAACCCTAAACCCTAAACCCTAAACCCTAAACCCTAAACCCTAAACCCTAACCCCTAACCCCTAACCCCTAACCCCTAACCCCTAACCCCTAACCCCTAACCCCCAACCCAACCCCTAAACACAAGACTCCCACATTGCAACCTCAGAAGGGATCCATGATTTACGGAGAGCTGGCCAGAAGCTAGCTCGACCTGCTGAGCTCAGCTGCATGCTGTGCTGCGAGGATTAAAACTTAGGGTTTAGGGCGTAGGGTTTAGGGCTTAGGGCTTACGGCTTAGGGCTGAGGGTTTAGGGTTTAGGGTTTAGGGTTTAGCCGTTGAGCGCAGTCTTGGTCCAGCCATCGATTAAATCGATTCTCATCGATTACTCTGCGGCCGGAAAAGAGATTCGTTGGATGCAAAGTCATAGGGGTTCGGCGTTCAAGGCTTTAGGGTTCGTTCTTCAAGGCTTAGAGGGCTTAGGATTGAGGCGTTTCGTGTTTCGTGCATGCTTTGGGCACGGGCTTGTGCCTTCAGAGAGCTTGAGCCACGTCTGCGGGAAACATAGGGTGGGAACTTCCCGACGCTCTTTCTGTCGCCGCGATCTTATCTACATATATGTATTATATACACATACACATATTTGTTTGTTTACATGTGTAGATGCAGAGGATACACAATATACATATACATATACATATACATATACATATACATATACATATACATATACATATACATATACATATACATATACATATACATATACATATACATATACATATATATACATATACATATACAGATACGGATACCTATACATTGTACATGTACATATACAGAAAATATTCATATACATATACATATACATATGCAAATACATATACATATGCATATACCAATACCCGCACCTATACCTAAACCTATACGTATACCTATACATAGACATAGACATAGACATAGTACATATATACATATGCATATACATATACATGTACATGTACATGTACACAGGCATAGACATAGACATGTACACATATATGTTCGTATCATGTATATATGTATACATATGAATGTCTGTACTTACAGTTATGTTTATACTTATATGTGGCTAATTTCAGGGTTAGATCATACATCGGCATCGTATTCGTGAACTTGTATTCTTGCATTCAAGGCACTTGCGAGAGTTTGCGTGTCAGGTGTCGTTCAGGACTGCCAAACCCAAAGCCTTCAAGCACTTCCCATTTCGCCACCCCCCCAGCCCCCACCCCCGCCCCCAACAAACAACAACAATCGCTCCGCCCTAAGCCCTAAATCCCCAATCTCAAGCCCTGCATCCCAAACCCCAAACCCCCAACCCTACATCCCAAACCTTGTATTTATTGAGACAAGAAATCCCAATAATAATAGCACCCCAAACCCCTCCACCCTTATGATATGCGAGGCTCTCCCGCGACTCGCACTCCAACTTCAAGGCCCCCCAGAGATTGCGGCTTTCGGATTGGGGTTTGGGGTGTTAGGGTTGAGGGTTTAGGGTTTAGAGTTCAGGGTTTTTAGGGTTGGGGTTTAGGGATCTGAGCGCCCGAGCCCCCCCCGAACCTCTGCACACCCCTTGCAGAAACCTGAACCCTGAGGCTTGGGGCTTACGGGGATTGAGGGGCGGTAAACCTTCAACCCTAACCCTAAACCCTAAACCCTAAACCCTAAACCTTGAGGGCCCCTTTTTCAGCCCAAGAAGGCCCAAGTGGTCCCCGCCAGGCGCAGTACGGCGAGTACCAGGCCGAAGATTCCCCCTGGAGCAACTTGCAGCTCGGGCCATTTTCCATGGGGAAGGGGTTTAGGGTTTAGGGTTTAGGGTTTAGGGTTTAGGGTTTAGGGTTTGGGGGGTTTAGGGTTTAGGGTTTGGGGTAGAAGCAGGCAGAAGAAGCAGGAGTTCCGCGCATTGTGGTTGAGACCAGGCTGCTTTCAACTTCAAAGAATACAGTGCCACATGGTACTCATTAACCAAAAGTCCCCTAATGGCTGACTGGCTCAAAATCCAACTTTTCAACTTTTGGGCTTCTTATCAGGTAGTTTATTCTGAAAGTTTCAACTTTTATTTTCTTGGGTTTTGGGCCAGTAAGCATAAGTATATGCAGTATGTCATGACACATGGTATGGGACTGGCTGGGTGTTTTATGATATGTAAGGCGTAGTACCTCAGTATGGACTCAGGGTCTTTCAGCACACCAGCGCTTGAAGGCACTAAGCGCGTAGTTGGGGGGGGGGGGGGGTGGGGGGCCCTCAACAAACCAGCGGCCCTACAGGACACCCAGCAAAGCCCTCAAGGTACGTTTGCGGAGACTGCCGCCGCGGTGCGTCCCTTGTCGTCACCGCCATCGCAGAGGCCCGGCGACGTTCACCTGTTCACCTGCCCAGTAGTTCCTTCCTTCCCCGTTTTTAGGGACGGCAGGTTCCCTTGTACACCCCGTGAAACCCCTAAACCCTAAACCCTAAACCCCAAACCCTAAACCCTAAACCCTAAACCCTGGCAAACGCAAGCTCTTTCTTTTGTTTAGGTGATCGGGGAACCAAGGCTTACAGACTCGACCCCAAAACGCCGGGCTCTCACATAGCCAAAGACTTTACAGCCCCAACCACTATACGACTGAATCCTGAAACCCTTTCCTTTCACCTGCTGTTTGTAGGGAATGAAGTGAATGAAGGGGTAGTACTGGCACCAATGGTATTTATCCTTAAGACACCGAAAACACCCACGCGCACGAGGGACGAGATTGCGCCGCCCGCGTGGATGCGCAGCTGATGGGTAGCGGCCGGGCCACACCATACCTCGGAGAGGGGTTTAGGGTTTAGGGTGTAGGGTTTAGGGTTCAGGGTTCAGGGTTTAGGGTTTAGGGTTTTTGGGTTTCGTGGCCATACATACCTAAGGAGGGGTTGGGTGACGTGGAGCCTTGCGCGCTGATGCTTGATAGCTTTGGGTTTTCCTCTTGTTTTGGGTTTGCGACTGGGTTAAGGTTCAGGGTCGCGGTTCAGGGTTCAGGGTTTAGGGTTTAGAGTGCAAGTTAAGACGTTTTAAAAGTTTTGGCCTTAGGACAGCGGGTTGCGGAGTTGGATGGGAGGGTGCGCTTGTCAAGATGTTGCAATGCCCCACCCCCTAAAATCCACAATGTCCCCTCCACTTCTCCTCATCCCCAAAACCCCACCCCAAACCCCAAAAACCTAGAAAACCCAACAATTCAAGCCCTGAAGACCCTACAGAACCCCAAATCCACAAACCCCTAAACCCCAATATTTGGCATTTCCCAACATAGGGGTACCCCCAGTATACCCAACAACACCACGATCTTTCTTCTAAGAACTCAAGAAATGGTCCCCCTACACTCGGAGACCCCACCGGAGACCCCCCCCCCCTATATAAACCCAAAACCCTATTTCACACCCTATGTAACCCTAAAAACCCAACATACCCCCAAAGCCCCAAACAATCCCAAAGAACCCACACATAACCCTCACATGACCCCAACATTCCCCCCCCCCCCCCCGTGCCTTGGACGCTTAGCGTCAATTCTGCGCGTGCTCTTTGTTTTCTTGGCTTCTTCCCGAAAACCTCTCTGGGATTGGGTTCTCGTTTGGCGCTTCAATGCTCAAGGCGCGGAAGGCGTTCTATCGGGTCGCTTTCTGACGACAGCGGCAACGAAGAGGAGACGGTCAACCTAGAGGGTCGGACGGAATGAATTTTGACGGGAAACCACGGAGACGACGCGGTCAAGCGAGGGGGGTCGGAGCTGGGAGAGGAGCGTGGGAAGCTTGCGCCACGGGCTTGGGGGGCGAGGACAAGGAGGGGGGAGCGCGGACGGGGAGCGTGACATTCGGTTGATGGGCAGGGGAGTGGGGTATACAGGTGGACACCTCCGCGCTCTCCGCGCCCTCCGCGCCCTCCGCGCCCTCCGCGCCCTCCGCGCCCTCCGCGCCCTCCGCGCCCTCCGCGCCCTCCGCGCCCTCCGCGCCCTGTGCTGATGCTAAGGGTGCATTGCGTCTATTCTGCGGGTGCGTTGCGTCTATTCTGCGGGTGTTTCCTTTGTAAAGTATTTGTTTACAAGGCACGCACGTGCAGCATAGCCTCTAAGTGTCCATCTTACCCCCCCCCCCCAAACAGCCCCCACCACAACAACCCCAAGCAAGCCGTCCCAAAAGACTCTAAACTTGTGATGTTTCCCCTGATACTAAGAGTCCTTAATAGGGACTACAAGTATACACCCTATTACAATCCCTGATAAGGACTGTTAGTATAAGGGGGAACATCCCAACTCTAAACCCTAAACACTAAACCCTAAACCCTAAACCCTAAACCCTAAACCCTAAACCCTAAACCCTAAACCCTAAACCCTAAACCCTAAACCCTAAACCCTAAACCCGAAACACTAAACCCTAAACCCTAAACCCTAAACCCTAAACCCTAAACCCTAAACCCTAAACCCTAAACCCTAAACCCTAACCCTAAACCCTAAACCCTAAACACCAATTTTCCCAGTGATGAGCCAAGGCACCAGTCTGCCCCGCGCCGCCCCACTGGCAGCCAATCCAACCTACTACCAGCTGCCCCAGAAGGCGGCTGAGGGCTTTTGGGGTTTGTAGGCTTTGTAGGCTTTGTAGGGTTTGTAGGGTTTAGGGTTTAGGGTTTGTAGGCTTTGTAGGCTTTGTAGGCTTTGTAGGCTTTGTAGGCTTTGTAGGGTTTAGGGTTTAGGGTTTAGGGTTTGTAGTGTTTGGGGTTTAGGGTTTAGGGTTTCGGGTTTGTAGGGTTTGGGGTTGAGGGCTGCTTTGGGCTCGAGGTTTTGGAGGGGCTTGCGGAGCCCCCTAAGACCCATGGGCCCGAAGCCCGAGCTTTCCCCTCTTCGGAAGCCGCAAGGCCTAAACCCCCAACCCTCCTAAGCCCTAAGGCCCTGCAAGGCCCCAAACCCTGGAAACCCTAAGGCCCCAAAAGGCACGAAGCCAAAACTCCCATGAATTGCAAGCCCACAGCGGGATGTTCCCCACATCCTAAAGCAGTCCTTCGTGGGGATTATAAACGGGGGGGTAATAGAATCCCCCAGCCCCAACCCCAGCCGGCCCAGCTTCCCAGCTCGCCAGCCCCAACACAACCCCACCCACCTCAACAACAAAAAAAAGAAATGAAACTTCCAAAAAAGAGAACCTGTCAAAACCCGATGTCAAAACCCGGTCAAAAACTTTCGCTCAAGACTCATGAGTCAGCTTCTTTCACCTTGCTCTCTTTTAAAACAGGTTGGTTGGCCGGTCAAACAAAGGGGGCCTTTTTTTCACCGGCCAACCTTGCTGTACTAAAACAAGAGCAAAAGGTTGGCCGGTGAAAGAAGCTGACCGATGAGCTTTTTGACTATCGGCCAGCCTTTTTGAAAGGTCGGCCGGGGCAAAAAGAGCTTTTGGGACCCAAACCCTATACAATCTCTATAAACCCTAAACCCCTAGGCTCTAAACCCAAAACCCTAAACCCCAAACCCTCAAGCCCCCTGTAACTTGGAATGATTAAGAAAAAACTCCAAGAAACGAAACTCCTTGAAACTCCTCGAAACTCCTCGAAACTTCCCCAAGAGCTGAACCCTTAAATAATTTCAGTAAACCCTAAACTTCAACCCACAGCTGGGGGCCAGGGTGCCGAGCCCAAGGGACTGGTGAAGCGGCACCTGAGGAAGCGGCTCGGCGGCAAGAAAACCAAAGAAGGGGGGGTTTAGGGTTTAGGGTTGAGGGTTTAGGGTTTAGGGTTTAGGGATTGGAGGGTTTCGACGGTTTAGACGGTTTAGAGGACTAAGAGGGGGCTTGGAGGGTTTTGGAGGGCTTGGAGAGGGGCCTTGTAGGGCTCCTGTGGAGGTTCCGAGGTTGCCTTTTATGGCAGGAGGGCTTTATGATTGTTTTTTTGGTGTTTTTGTTCAAGAGGGTCTTAGACCTTTGGTTTTTGTTGGTTTGGGGGGTGGGCCGGGGGGTCCATCGAGTGGGTCGCCATTTTTCTCGTGTTTTTTTTGAGAGTGGCTTGCAGGGCAGGTTGCCGTTTCGTTTTTTTCGGCAAGGGCTTACAAGGTAGGCTGCCTTTAGCCTTTTGGAGGAGCGTTACAGGGTAGGTTGCCTGTTTGTGTTTAAAGAGTGGGTTTAGAGTAGGTTGCCTTTTTGTTTTGTCAGAGGGGGTAGGTGTATTTGTTTAGAGGGGGAGGCCACAGGGTGTGTCACCATTGGTTTTTTTGAAAGGCGGGTGGCATAAAATAGGTTGCCTTTTCGTTTGCTTAGAGGGTGACTTTTCGTTGTTTTTTGTTGGGGGGGTTCATAGTCGAGGTTGCGTTTAGTTCTTTTTGTTTGGGGGGGTGCTTGTGGGGTAGGTTGCCTTAATACATCAGCGGGGCTTCTGGTGGTGTTGAGGGATTTATTCGTAGGGTTTGGGGCTATAGTAGGGCTCGGCAGGCCTCGATAGTTCAAGAGGTTTAGGGGTTTTGTGAGGGTTTGTGAGGTTGTTGCTGTGGGGTTCAGGCCGGGCTCCAAGAACGAGAAAAGACGCCCTGTAACTGGTTCGCCGATGTTCACCCCTATAAAAAACCCTACAAGCCCTCCAATGCTTCAATCCTTAACGCCCTAGATGTGCCCCATAAGCACCAAAGTCTATCAGATCCCGATGAGCCCCAAACCCTATAAACCCTACAATCACTGTACGCCCCAAACCCCACAAGCCATGCAAGCGCTGTAAAACCCTGTAAGCCCCCCAAACCCCACACGAAGGCCCACAAGTCCTTCACCCCCAGAAGACCCTAAACCCTAAACCCTAAACCCTAAACCCTAAACCCTAAACCCTAAACCCTAAACCCTGGCCTTTTGGGTTCGCTAAATATTTGCAAGATTTGGACTTTTCAGGGACCCCTTATTTTTGCTGCACCGTTTGTCTGAGGCTCGCGACCTGTCGACAAGTAACAATGAGTAGCCGCTTCAGGATGCTTGTGAATACGGACAAAGTTTCAGGAAACTAATACGGCGGGATGCCGTCAACACCATCGAATTTCGGGGTCCACTTGTGGCCAATCGATTTCCTATCAGGGAGGAGGAAAGTAAACATCTGATTGTGAATATGCTGACACCTCATGGACCCATAGAAGCCATTAAGGCGTTGGTACCAAGACTGCCGCTGACTCAACATGTTTAACAGGATGAATACTGGTCGGAAGGCCTTTCAACCTTACGAAGAAGGATCTGAAGCGAGACGACAGGATGCGGGCAGTCATGCCCGGGACCAGCCAACCAGGAAAGACACCATAGACTGCGAGAAACTGGATCAAAACTACCAGCCAGGGAGTTCGTTCCCTTTGAGGCCTGTCGCAACAGAACCATCTTTGCTTACAAAGTTGGCAAGAACTTCAGCAGCAGCAGCAGCAGCAGCAGCAGCAGCAGCAGCAGCAGCAGCAGCAGCAGCAGCAGCAGCTTGAGACAAAGGTCTTCTACCCCGAAGAAGCGGGTCTAAGCTAAACCCTTGCCACACCTTCTGGCTGGAGATGCGCGAATAAGGCGAGATATCTGCGCCGAAGGCAGTCAAAGAGGATATCAGGCGGCAAGGTATTCGTTCTGCACCTTTGTCTCAATCCCAGTAATGTTGAACCCTGTTTAGTGTAGGGGCCCCCCCCCCTTGAACGGTCGAGGCTGGATTTTGCTCTGTTTAGACGGCCCTGGGGGTTTATATGATTTAAATAGGGAGGAGTTTAGATAAGTTTAAAAGGGGCAGCGATGCCGGCAATCTTTTCTAAAGGCGCGCCACGTGGAATTTACGGCGCCCGGACGGTTTGACTTTAAAGAGGGACTCCCAAACAGTCAGGATGCCCTGAAGAATTCAGCCAAATGGACGTTATAGGGGAGGCCCCTGCCAAACAGGGTCCAACCTTACATGAATTACAAGTGCTATAGCATTTCCGGGGGCGCTTTGGACTTGCGGTAGTTCTCTTGGGTCCCCTCTTGGCCCAGGAATAGTGGACTACCTCCCAGAGAAGCTGCGAGAATGTGTCCCGTGGACCCTAGGCGCCCCTTAACCCTAAACCCCATCACACAAGAGGCACGAAGAGACGCTGGAGCTTGAGGGTGCCAAAGACGCCGCAGGAAGTAGGCAAAGCGGTTTAGAGTTTTAGGGTTTTAGGGTTTAGGGTTGAGGGTTTGGGGTTTAGGGTTTAGGGGGCTCAGGTTGGGCAGGGCGGAAAGACACTCCTGCTGCGGGAGTTGCGGGGCAGACACTGCCGCCTACCACACCCTCGAGCAGGAGGCTCCGGGCCCCTTTTAGGGTTTAGGGCGGTTTAGAGTCTTGAGGGCCAATAAACCCTGTAACCCCCCCAGCGGCATGAGCTCTGAAAACCCTAAATCCCATGAACCCTGTGAACCTTCGGGCTCTGTGAAGCCTGCGAACCCAAAACCTCAAGAGGCCCTAACCAATCCGAAGCCCAAGCTCTCAAGAACCTCAAAACCCTCTAAACCCTAGACCTTCTGAAACCTTTAAACCCCAAACCCTGAACCCTTTAAACCCCAAAAGGCCCAACCCCAAACTCCTATAAACCCTAAACCCCAAGCCGCTCTCTTCCGAGGCATCACTACGCCACGGCCGAGGTGACCGCGGCCTTTGAGCGTGGCCTCCTAGTCGACAACCAAAAGCCGGAGGAGGGGTGTTACGGGAGGTTTGAAAGGTTTAGGGTTTAGGGTTTAAGGTTTAGGGTTTAGGGTTTAGGGTTTAGGGTTTAGGGTTTAGGGTTTAGGGCTTGGTTTCGGGGGATGCGTGGGGCAACCATATACAGCTCAAACCCTGAGACCCGAAACCTGAAAACCCTAGATCCTAGAAACCCCAAGACCCCATAACTCTAAAGCCCTAAAACCCGACAAGCCCCAAAAGCCTGTAAACAAACCCTAACCCTAAACCCTAAACCCCAAAAAAACCCTTGATCAAAAGCCGCCGGGCCCCGTGGCATCACAGGAGACGGAGCCGGTTCCGGAGCCAGCACCGGACACACGCGCCGGCTCACCCCAGGCGCTTAGTATAGGGGCCTGAATAGGTAGAATAGGGTTTAGGGTTTAGGGTTTGGGGTTTAGGGTTTAGGGTTTAGGATTTGGGGTTCAGGGGCCTGAATGATGAGAATAGGGTTTTCGGGGGTGTCATGATAGTATACTTATAAAGGGGCCCTAAGGGAATACTATTAGTTTATTCCGACCCCGCATACGCTTCTTAGGGTTTGTTGGGGGGTATATATATATACATATACATAGACATATACGTATACGTAGATCCAGAAGCCTTGCAAGCCCAAAGCCCCAAATCCTACCAAGCCCTTGTGCTCAGGCGGCCCCCGCAGCTCGGGCAGCAGGGGCCGATGCTGCAAACGCCGCGGCTATGCAGTCGCCGCGGGCTCGGGCTAGGAACATGCTGGGGGATATTTGGGGTTTAGGGTTTAGGGTTTCGGTTTGGGATGTTCGCCCTGAAACTGACAGTCCTTAATAGGGATGATAATGGGGGAGGGGGGGGGGTACTATAATCCCTATGAGGGACTGTTCGTATAGGGATGAACACCCCTAAGTTTCAGTTCTGGTGCAATTGGGGTATCTTCATTTGGTGACATATTTTTGTCAGAAGCGAAAGGGGCACCTCATAAGACTGATAAACCCTAAACCCTAATTCCCCTTAGCCCTAAACCCTATACCCTAAACCCTAAACCTTAAACCCTAAACCCTAAACCGTTTCTGAAGCCCCTGTCACGCCTTTGCCCCCTAAACTGCTCACCGCCAGCAGCGTGGGCAAAGTGCTCATGGCGTCCCAAAGCCTTCCCAACGCCACCTGCGCAGGACTCCTTGCTTTTCCTTTGTGAAAAGGTTTATTATACAATATGTTACCTACATCAAGCCCCTAAAGGAGTCAAAGGAGGGTTGTGTAAAAACCATTGTTTGAGAAAAGCCTTTAGAGATCAGTTTGGCTTCTACCCCCATGGCCTTGACTCGAGAACGTTAAGATGCTGCACGTGGCGGGGGCGCATCTTCGAAGGCTTCCCCACCTCAGCTCGCGTGTTCGACGCCGGCCCCACCTCTCCAATTCCCAAACCCTAAACCCTAAACCCTAAACCCTAAACTCTAAACCCTAAACCCTAAACCCTAAACCCCCCTTCACCCCCCCAAGCATCCCGGGATGCCCCCTCCTCCCCCCCTGAGTGCCCTGGATCAGAGGCCCCAAGACCCAGAGGTCCGAAGGAACTGTGTATGCATATGTATATTCAGAGAGAGCGAGAGATAGATATGCATAGATAGTACTGTGTATATATATATACATATATACAGATATACAGATATACATATATACATGTATACATGTATACATGTATACAGATATACAGATATACAGATATACAGATATACAGATATACAGATATACATATATACATATATACATACATACATACATACATATATACATATATACATATATACATATATACATGCATACATACATACATACATACACATATACATATCTACATACATACATACATACATACGTACATACATAAATACATACATACATATATATATATATATATACACATATGGTAATGCGTTGTATGTGTATGTGTGTATATATATATATATGCACGCATGTACACACATACTTTGTGTCCCAAAGTCAGGCCCCAGCACCCAGAATCCCTGAATCACTGAGGCTGTCGGCATTGAACGCCATGCAGTCGCCAGGGTCCCGGGCGTTGGATTTAGGAGACTTCGGACCCACAGCCGTCCTTGGGCCTTGCATTCGGGATTCTTGGGGCTGTGGAGACTAAGCCCTAAACCCTGAACCCTAAACCCTAAAGCCTAAAGCCCTAAACCCTAAACCATTCATGCTCAGTGCTCCCTTGGACTGTGTCTCAGACTATGTTGGGGTTCTTTCTCCCAAGTGTTTGTCTCCTCTTCGTCATGTAGCCGTTTCGAGTCCAGGGGTCGTAGGCCATTGAGGGCCTCCTAATCTACCCTTGCCCCAACCCAAAGGATTGCCAGCCCCGCCCCAGAACCTCCTCAAGAAGCTCAGCCCACCCCAAAGACTTCAAGCCTCTAAGCCCTAAACCCTGAACCCTAAACCCTAAGCCCTGAACCCTAAACCCGAAACCCCAACCCAACCGCCCAAGGGGCAGAGGTAGGTTTTGTCCGAAGCTGCGGGCTTTCCATGCCCCCCTAAAGCCCTAAACCCTAAACCCTAAACCCGTACTAGGCTCCCCCTAGCTTCCGGGACCCTTTGAGGCAAGTGAGGACGATGTCACTGGTCATCGGAGGCCGCAGAGGGGGAGGTTTAGGGCTGTAGAGGGTCTAGAGGGGTTTAGGGTTTAGAGTTGAGGGTTTAGGGTTTGATGTTTAGGGTTTAGGGTTTGGGGTTTAGGGTTTGTATGTACCATGAACAGAGGATAGTAGAATCCCTATTCAGGACTGTGAGTATACGGGGTTTAAGGTTTAGGGTTTAGGGTTTAGGGTTTAGGGTTTAGGGGGAACGGCCCAATTCCACACATTCCCCCTGACGCACGTCGTGGCCCACCATGCAGATCCGAAGGGCGGGTCACGGCAACAGCAGCCACTGCTTTCGCAAGTTTAGGGCTTAGGGTTTAGGGTTTGGGGTTTGGGGTTTAGGGTTTAGGGTTTGGGGTTTAGGGTTTGGGGTTTAGGGTTTAGGGGAGGGTGAGCCATCCCATACCAGAGTGACAAGAGACTTGGGCTTTCGGTGAAAGAAGGAGATGCCGAGGGGGGGGGGGGCGGGTGGGGGGTAAGGAGATCTTGAGGGTTTAGGGTTTAGGGTTCAGGGTTCAGGGTTTAGGGTTTAGGAGATCTTGGGGGGAGAAAGTCCCCTGACCCCTAAACCCTGAGCCCTAAACATGTAGCCTCGAATTGAACAACCCTGACGACCCTATAGAACCCTCAGCCCTGAACCCGGGAAACCTTCAGCACCCTGAACCCAAACAAAAGCCTTGGGACGCTTAAAGCCGCAGAAGCCTCAACAGTCCTTAAGACCTAAAGACCCCTGAAAGACCCTTAAAGACCCTAACAACGCGAGGAAGAGCTCTCTGAAAGACCCTGATAAAAGCACACCCTTTCAACCCCTTCAGGCCTCCACCCCAAACCCCAAACCCTAAACCCCAAGCCCCAAACCCTAAACCCTAAACCCCAAACCCTAAACCCTAAACCCTAAACCCCAAGCCCTAAACCCTAAACCCTAAACCCCAAAAACCCCTAAGCCCTTGCAGGCCTCGCCCTCCTGAATGCCGGGCTCGTTGCGGCCCTTGTCCGCTCCAAGCGCTGAGACCAGATCAAGAGGGGTCGTCCTTTCTCTTGGGGGGGGTTCGGGTTTCGGGTTTAGGGTTTAGGGTTTAGGGTTTAGGGTTTAGGGTTTAGGGTTTTTCTAGGGATTTAGGGTTCACAGAAATTTTTTCGGCTTTAATGAGAGGGTTTACCCGGCTTGTAGGATGTACAGGTTCTACGGGGCTGTGACACTTGCAAGGTCTTAGGGTTGAAGGGGGAGGGCTTGAGGGTACGTGTCGTGGCTTCCAGAAGGTGCTGTAGAGCTGCGTAGACATGTCTTCTCCCTGGTGCAGGGTTTAGGGTTTAGGGTTTAGGGTTTAGGGTTCAGGGTTCATGATGGCAGGGCTCACGTCATGCCAGAGGTGTGCAAGCTTTGGAGAAGAGGGGGAGAACTGTTTGGGTGACCATCGGTCCCGGCGTTCCCCCTGGTCTGGACGACCCTCTGCAAGCCATTGCTTGCTCATTTTCCCGCTGCGCGCCCCTGCACGTGTAGGATGCGAGTGCGTAGCCACCTGGCCCAAAGCCATTCGCAGAGAGGACGGCGCTGGCACAGCGCTTCCAGGCCAGTTGTGCGGCCTGGACATTGCTTTATTTTCACGTGTCGACAAGGCACGCGTTGTGCATGTGAATCACATGTCACTCAAACCGCAGAAAGGTGTCTAAGTCCCAGCCGAGCAAAGGCTCACGTGGTGGCTCACAGGCCAGCAACCCGTATTGATCCCTAAAATAGCGCAACATCCTTGCGGCATCACAAGCCCTTGCCATTCGGCTGTGGGATCTGCACCCCATAGCTATACCACAGCAAGCAAGTTTGAGCTTGTGGCGCGCTGCTGAGGTCGTGGGGAGCTCGATGCCGCACCTAAACCCCCGCAAGTGCCCAGCAGAGCTTGGAACAGAATGCGAGCCCAGCAGAGCCGGCAATCCCTGAAGCCCAGCAGGAAGCACAGGTCCGGGAACGGAGACAGAGAGAGAGAGGGAGAGGGAGGGAGAGAGAGGGAGAGAGAGAGAGAGAGCGAGAGAGAGAGAGAGAGCGAGGGAAGCAGAGTTGGAAGCAGAGAGGGCGAAGCGGAGGGAAGCAGAGAGAAGCGCAGAGAAGCAGAGAGAAGCAGAGAGAATGAGAGAGAATGAGAGAGTGAGAGAGGCGCACTGCGCTGCCGCGTCACACACCAAATGTTTGCCGTCGATTCCGGGCAGTCGGGGGCCTTCGGCCCTCATGCCCCCGCAGAAGTGAGGAGAGGCAGACGGAAGAAGACAGAGCAAGGGAGTCGCTAGAACCCAGTACCAGGCATTTGCCCACAATGCGCCCTGCTGGAATTGGCTGTGTTGTGTCCAGCTTCCGACGACTCCGGCTGTCTTTGCTGTCTCAGGTACCTCGGCAAGTAAAAGACCTAAGAGGTTTACAATCATCTTAGAGTACTACCGGTATCAGCAATCCGAGGTGACGGAGGCTCCAAAGTTCTTGACTCAGGAGAAGGTGTGGAGCATCCATTCCCCTGTTCGTCAAGGTTTATGTTATGTGCACTCAGCAGCTTTTCGCCACAAGCAAAAGGCTGTCGATGGCAATGCGGGCACGGGGGATACCCAGCAGCTGCAGCAGCTCCTCAGTACAAAGAGCACAGAGGGTAAGGAGCCTGCTCACACAAACACATTGGGATATGTGTTGGCAACTTGAGGGCTCGCGAAAATAGGGGGACCCCCAAAAAGACCTCCAAATAGTAGGATTCCCCAATAAGGTACCCTTAATTTTGGAAACCCCCATCTGCAACATGAGGACATTGGACCCCTAAACCCCTAAACCCCTAAACTCCTAAACCCCTAAACCCCTAAACCCCCAAACCCTAAACCCTAAACCCTAAACCCCAAACCGGGGAACCGCCTTCCACTGGCTCTTGAGCAACAGTCCTTGCGGTTTCCGGCTCTGAAGTCATCCTCGGCTCAACCCAGAAGCTTCAATCTCCAGTTCGGGCTTAGGGTTTGGGGTTTAGGGTTTGGGGTTTAGGGTTTGGGGTTTAGGGTTTGGGGTTTAGGGTTTAGGTTTAGGTATAGGGATCATGGTCGCTTTCAGGGTTTCATGTCGCACCAGGGCTAGAGTCTAGAGACGCTGGAGTGCCACCCGGCCGCATCGCAAGATAGCTTTCACGACAATAGACGCGAAGGAAAATGTGTGGGCGTGGGGTTGAGGGCACAGGCAGCATGCGTGAGTTTTTTTTCAAATGGGCCTCTGCGAGCATTCATGTCAGGTCTTCGGAGGCTCTTTCCCGGGGGCCGCAGCGTCTGCACCAAGCAGCCCCATGCTCTCCTGTGCATAGCACACTCTGGTAGCTTAAGTAGCTTAAGTGGTGTCGCAATCCGCCCCAGCCATGGCCTTGTGCACCATCCACGCGTACTTTCAGGTGTTGGACGAGGCAAAGGCCATGTCCGTCATGAAGGATTTCATCGAGAGCACCAAGGCAGGGGGGTTCAAACACGCACTTGTAGCATGTGAGTTACTACGCATTTCAGGGCTACAGCCATCAAGATTCTTGCCCTCCTTGTGAGGCTGAGAAAGGCTGCCTGTGGTATGCCTGGGACAGAGCCGGTGACAAGCTCTTCTGCAATGAGGCCTATGCGGATGCGCAGGCCGTGCTTACCCACATGGAGACTTTGGGGAAGGTGGGCAACTTCGATGGCGCCGCCAAGCTCACCAGCATCGAGTTCCACGGCCCCTCAGTCGAGCTCGAGAAGCTGCGGGACACCGCCAAGGCCGTGAACGCCGTGATGTTCACCGAGGACCAGAATGCCAGCTTCATGCACCCAATGGCCCCGGGAGCGGCCACGGCGGCGGCCCCTGCATCGCTGTGCACGGTGCATGCATACTACGACCTGACGGATGAGGGCAAGGCGGAGCCCGTGCTGGCCGACCTGGCGGCGAAGACGAAGACGGAGAAGGGATGCGTCTACTATGGCTGGACCAAGGCGGGTGACACGCTCTTCTGCCGCGAGGGCTACTTGGACAGCGAGGCCGTGCTGGCCCACCTCAGCAACGTCGCCTCCTGCAACGGCCTTGCCACCTGCACACGGCTCCGGCGCCTTGAGATCCATGGCCCGGCCCCTCAGCTCGAAAAGCTCCGAAAGCCTGCGGAGCAGATGAAAGCCCAGTGCTTCGAGCGCCACGCGGGGTTCCAGCGCGTGGAGATGGCCACAGCCGTCAAGGCCTCACCGGTGGGCGGCCTCCGGTTGGGCGGAAGCGTGCTGCGCGACTTCTGCTCAATCCATGCTTACTACAAGGTGACGGACGAGGCATCTCTGGGCGGCCTCCTTGCGAAGTTTGAGGCGAGGACGAAGGCTGAAGCAGGCTGCCTCTGGTATGCCTGGGACCGGGCAGGCGACCGGCTCTTCTGCAACGAGGCCTACGCCAGTGCTGAGGCGCTCTTGGCCCACGTGCAGCATTTGGAGAAGGTGGGCTCCTTACAGGGTGCCGCCAAGCTCACGGACATCGAGTTCCATGGGCCCTCGGCAGAGTTGGAGAAGGTCATGGGCACTGCAAAGAAGCTCGGGGCTGCCCTCTTTGCTTTGGAGTCCGATGTGAACTTCAAGCCCGTGGACCTCCGCCCAGAGGGCCAGCCCGCCGACCTCTGCACCATGCACGCCTACTTCAACGTGGAGGATGGCGAAGCATGTTGAAGCCACCCTATGTAGTTCCCTCTATAAAGGACACCCCTCTCCGCCCTTTCCCAAGAGTGCCCTTTCCTAAAATGCTTGTGGCGTATTGTCTTGGCTTGAATTCTGCGGAGGATGAGTCGGGCGTGAAGGGCGCGCTCTCGGAGCTGGTGCAGAAGTCCCGCGCTGAGGAGAGCTGCATCTACTACGGCTGGACCCGCGCGGGGTCGAAGCTCTTCTGTCGGGAGGGCTACACCAGCGCGGATGGCATCCTGGCCCACCTGGTGAATGTCTCCACCTGCGGCGGCCTCACGAAGTTTGCCAAGCCCTATCGCATCGAGATCCATGGGCCCAAGGCTGAGATTGCCAAGCTCAAGGACACGGCCGACAAGATGGGTGCAGTCTGCTACGAAAGAAGCTCGGGCTTTCAGCACTTCCAGGCCAAAGCATCGCTGGCTCTTGCCAGAACCGGAGGTGATGGCCTGGAGCAGCTCAAGAAGATGTTCCTGAGGTTGGCCTCGGTGCTGAAGTACTTCGGCCTCGGGGGGCATGCGGTGGAGATCTTCCTGGCGCTCATCGGCAGGCTCGCCTACCCTAAACCCTAAACCCTAAACCCTAAACCCTAAACCCTAAACCCTAAACCCTAAACCACATGAACCCGAAAAGGCTCCTGCGGCGTAGGCTGACGCTCTTCCGGGCCCGGTGGATGAACCTCGCCGCCAGCTTCCTGATCATCGCGGGGCACCTTGCAGAGCAGAGCAAGCAGCAGGAGGAGACCCGAGGGGTCCTTACATCCCCCTAATTTATTTTTCCCTAAATTCTTATAATTACCCTTTAAGAAGGATGTACGTAGGTTACCTAACTTTTATAATTACCCTTTAAGAAGGACGTAAGTAGGGTACCTACCTTGCAGTGAGGAGACCCATCAGTACCTCGACCGCATCGCCATCCTGGAGACGCAGCTCTTACGGCTGCAGGTCCGCGAGAAGGCGCAATGAGCCGACCTCGCGGGCGCTGCTCCGAGAAACTTTTTGTGTAGCGTAGAGGGATCAGGGGGGGGAGCCACAAGGCTGGGTCTGAATCTCCAGTTCTCTTTTGTGAAGCCGGTTTTGGTGGATTGAGGGGTGGGAAGGAGGTCTAGGGTTTAGGGTTTAGGGTTTAGGGTTTAGGGTTTAGGGTTCAGGGTTCAGGGTTCAGGGTTTAGGGTTTAGGGTTTCAAGGACAGCTCCATGATGGCATGGCGCGGCACGACGTTTCAGCGAGCGCGCCTGTCAAATCAGCGAGAGCTGAAACAAACCTTCGACATAAGATATTTCTTCACGAAAAGTTCTATGTTTAAGAAATACAGTACGATAGCAATGTTTACATAGTTGTTTGTTCTTCGGTGGGTCGAGGGATAGGTCGATCTTGAAGAAATTGTATTGTTTACTTAATGATAAGGTCTTCGGTGGATCGCTATTTGTGTGAGGCATGGTAAGATGCATGATTTGTTGCCACCGGTTTTTGCTTGATTGTCAAAGATGCGAAGGAGCACGATGTGTTGCCTCCAATTTGTGTTTGCTTGCCAAATAGATGAAGTAATCAATATACATCACATTTCGTATCTCGTATCACGATTTATCGGTATACGGAGTTGTCAGGGGCCCGACCTGAATTTGAATCAATTGGACTACTATTATCTGATCCGTATCTTCGTCCCGCTGATGTCTTGGTATGACGATCCCTTCTATCGTCGTTTCTTCTTGACGACAATTCCCACGA